TTCTTCTTGTGGACGGTCCTTCTTCGTCTTCGAGTAGACCATCCGCGAGGAAGAGTGTCCAGAGTTCCAAAAGGTGGTTGCCACCACTAGCGCGAGTACAACACCAAGCTAAAAACTCCCGGAAGTTACCGTCTCAAACGTGTCTCTAGATTCCGACTTGCAAATGAGCAGCCAATACTTGGCCCACCAGCCGTGATCGTCGTAGCTCTTTTCCAAAAAGCCCAGCTCGTAACCAGCACAAGCCTCCGCGTGCCCGTCTCTGCTGTTTTTGTGGGCCAGTTCGGCGGTGAAAGCGTTGGTTTCGATGTGCATAAACACGTTGCCCGGCTGGAGCAGACTCGGTTGCTGGCTCCATCCAAAGAAGATRATGATGCCACCGGCGTGCAACACCCCGTGATCCGAATCAAACTCTTTCGTGGGGATCGTATAGCACGGACTGCCTCCTTCGAGGAGTATCGCCGATTTGATCTGGATGTCTTCTCCGGTACCATTGATTATGCTCGCCGCAACACAACGACGAGAAGACAATCCAGAAAATACCTGACCCCAGCAGCTTACAAGAGTCCAGGCTTCCTCGTCGAGAGTCTCCAAAAAGTTTGGCATCTCACTGCCCATCCGTTTCACGCGCCCAAAGCAGCTCTCGATGAGATCTATTTCGTCTTTGATAGTGTTGGACAACTTCTTCCGCTCGYTGTTACATTTTCCAAAAATGTAACTCTTTTGAGGTGTCTTGATGCCCGGAATGTTGCTCGTGGAAACTTCAAAGCTTTCGTTGCTCGGTAGGGYAGATCTCTTCAACTCTGCTAAGTTGCTTGCGGCATTTCCCATTTTATCGGACTCCATAGTCAAAAGTGCTTGCAGTTTTTCGACTTCGTGGTCGTCAACAACTTGAAATATGTATGGTTTCAGTCCTGTCTGGCTAAATACAACGACACGAACGCCATCGTCTACTTGCCCAAAGTGGCTTATTTCTTCCCAGTTTACGCACCAAGCCTCGCGAGATAGACGATCTATGGCCCACAGACACTGCTCGCTGGCAATTATCAAGTGACTCGGAATGTACACGTGACCGATGTAGACATCATCACACCTTTCACCTTCTGTGACAATCTTTTGAGCCTTCGCATCCTGGTCATCATAAGGTCTCAGAATGACACAGTTCGGCTTCTTTGCAGAACGACTTGGCAATGCTCTGCGTAAACGCTTTGGAATCTTCGGTTGCACCTGCTTATTGCTCGTCGCGTCAGAAACGTGGTTCATCAATAGAGCGGCTGCGTCTCCGACACCCACTACGGGCTTGATGATCGCTCCAACCACTGCTTTCCCTACGCCTTTCACCAATCCCACGGGCCCGTATTTTGCTGCATACCTTGTYGGCTGCTCGACAATGCCCACAGCACCAGACTTCACACCCCGGGAAACGCTCGCTGCAGCCAAATACATCGAGTCTCTAAATCTTCTATTTGTTGTACCTCKACTCATTGCATCTGTCAACATTCGTTGGTGCGCTTTTCTCTCTCCAATAAAGTTATCATCTGCACTTGCCAACGCCAAATTGTGGTTCACAATTTCGGCAACATTCGCTGCTAAGGATAGTCCACCAACAAAGACACCGCGTGCAAGGGACTGGGTGCCAGCTTCGAGGCCTTCTATAAACTGCCTAGGGCCGTGAACAGCACCCTGAATCGGTTCGTAAAAGAAGTCACGAACCCCGGTACCAACATTCGATATAAAGTCAGCAGGAGCACCAAGAATTGCGAGGCTGCCAAGTATTGAAAATATTTGTTTCGTCAGTTGAGAGGAATAATGAACACCGATGACTCTGAGAAGAGCCTGTGGAGACTCGAAGACRTGTGCTACAACAAAAGACGTAAAAGTCAATGGTGCGTCAGCGATACTGGCCATGCCACGAAGAAACTGAAATAACAATGCCACTTCGTTTCCTTCGTTAAATTCCATCCATTCCTGCGAAAATGTCAAAGTTATTCGAACAGGATGAAGATGAAGCTGTTCAAAGTAGAATCGACCGGAGTTCGCAGAATGAATCAATGACTCGACATCTGTTGGTGTATAGCGGTCTGACTGAGAGTATTTCATCATCCTAGTAGTAAGATCGGCCACAAAATCAGGGGCTTCGTCGGCCATGTCAGCCTTTGATTTTAGGACAGGCTCAAAAAAACTTGCCACATTTTCTGCTGTTCTCCGATCAAGAAAAATTCTAACTTCGAGCACTCGGAATGCAGCATATCGGAACACATACGTATTACTGTGCTCCTGGAGTCGTCTCACTGCTGATAAGTGAAGAAATGGTTCCATATGGTCATATTTTGGACAAAAAATTAAAACTGGGTGAATTGAGGATGGGACGTGGTTATCGACTTGCATCGTTTGTAGTCTGAATTCGATTTCATGATACCCTTCCCTACTCTGAGAAAAAGAGGCAAAAATCCTATCAAACTGGGCCAAGAGGATTTCACGCCCGTGACGACCTGCGATTGCATTGTCGATAACTGAAATTGAAAGCGACGGAATACCACACCGTACGCTCAACGCGGCATCCTCTATGTCATCGTAGGATGAGGTTTTTGCATTTTTGTCTGCCGTGGCCTTCTCGATATTTCTCTGCTTCGATTTTTTTAGGTTACGAGAAATTTCAAAGGAACTGAACTCRGCTACCTTGGTTGAGTGTTCGGCTTTAATCTGACACACCACTTGCTTTTTCCCCAAATTTAGACTGCTAGAAGATCCCATGTTATCGATTTCGACAAGAACTTTTTCGCTGCTCTCATTGAAGGTATACGATTCGTCGTCCATGCATGCCCATTCCAAAATACGAGGCTTTTCTGGGTCATCGAAACCCCAGCAGGCAACATCACCGCTTCGCAAAACCCAAACGAATTCTTCAATCCGATCGAGCCCAAGAAAAGAACGAAGCATAGGGGTGATCTCCCCACCACATTCAAGTCTATTTTTTCTTTTCGAATTTGAGACAGTTGTTGATTCTGTACCACATGAGGTGAGCCCACTCGGATTATCGTCATTCTGCTCTTCTTGCAGAGGTTGGCGACATAAAATTGTGTATGGAGTCCGGTTCCTAAGCAGATAAAGAGGGTCTGATTTTTCGTTCGCCGACCATATCACGATGACAACAGCAGAATTTTGTTCCTTCGTTGCAAGTCGCACTTCAGTCTGCACAATCATAGGCCTCGCTGGTAGAATCCCGGCGGTAGGAATTCTGATCGACGTAATTCCTATTTTGTCTAATTGAATGCAGCCATTTGTCCAGCACTCATCATAATCCCCAGTATCCTTCTCTTCCATCGTTGGTGTTCCTAATCTTACCTTTGGAGGTAGAGATTGTCGTTCCCAATGAAAAGGAACTGATGACTGTGATGGAATCAATATTGCCGACTTGAGACACCCATCCTGTGCAATAACTAGTTCTCGTTTCAATAAATTGACTATCTGGTACCTGGGGAAAAAAGTTATCAGTTTGGTTCGAGCAAACATTCCAGGGCAAACTGTTACACTCATTGCGAGCTCGAAACGACGGGGGCCGCCAACTTCGTCAACCGAGAAAACMGTTTTTGGCAAAACGTTTGATACATCCATCGGGCTGGTCCACTTTGATTTCACTCCTTTTTTACCTTGAAAATAACCATTGTTATCGGAACCAGTTTCAATAGATATGGCAATTTTTTCCTTCAGAGAAAAATAAAGTGACATTCCATTCATACCTACGGACCATTGATGACCCTGAATTTGCAAGTCTTTCTTCATAGAAGGGTTACCTACGTTGTCATTTGGCAAGTATGATCTTCTTGAGTATTCGGTATCAGCAACAGTTCCCATTAAATCGCTAAAACTCTCACAAAACCGGCATYCAAATCCAGTCTTGTCTAGCACCCAGTACTGGGAATAAACTCGTAGTATCGGCGAGTGCCCTGCTTCAACACTAATAATTAGAACAAGAGATTCTCCAGATTTTCCCAAACGATCAAAATGAACACTGGTTTTGAATTCTTCTGCATAATCTTCTGCATCTCCCTTATCAGCGTAAAGGTGGATTTCTTCTTCCGCTTCAGAGGGTCGCCACGTGAGTGAATTCGCTTTTCTGTTTACAATTCGTTGCCAGGCTGACCACCTATACCCCGGAACTCTAAGGCTGACATGAGGCTTCGATCCAGGATTGAGAGCTACGCATTTTCCTTCGAGACCACTTGCAACTYTCATTGTTTCAACGTTCGCTATTCTGAATTTTTTTCCCCGAGATATCACTGGTCTATTGTCAACTTGTCTTCTTTCCGACGGTCGAAGGACTTCACCGAGCTGACACTCCAATTGACAGGGAAGAAGATTGATKATCTTCAATACTGGTTCAATATGTATGTCAACAATACCCTTCTTACTTTTTACGTTGAGAAGGAAATGAAGATGTGTCTCAGAAACATCATTCATTTTTATTGATGTGCGAATTAGATTGTTTGAATTATAACTCGTTGGAAGCATCAAGTTTCGATCACTTGCGTCAAAATCTTGAAGACACGAAGAGGAACGATTGCATCTTCTTTTTGCAAGTCTAAGATAAATACCAGATGCGAAAAGAACGGGTACAGATAATTCTCGATTGGGTTCCGCAGAACCAATCAACTTTTCTTCCTCCCATGATGGACTGTAAACAAAAAAGGATAAAGAAGTTGAGGTTGAATTGTGGATTGTTACATGACTCTTGACATCAACATTGAAATTACCCATTTCGTCAAGGAAGGTGTGCCAGACAATTTTCAAGGGTCGGCGTGGGTCATTGAGAAGAGGCGGTTTTACAATCCGCGTCCTGGTCCACCTGCGACGACGACACGAATCACCACGCATGTAGAACCGTCTTAATCTGGTGAATGTCTCAAAATCTGCCGAATATTCATATCCGTCCGCATCCGAAGACTCTTCAAAGTCACCAGACACATCTACCGTCCAGTCATTTACCCACATCCAATTGTTATCTGGAAGCATTACTCGCTCACGAGCCAAGGGCAAAATACATGTCATATCCGTCCATTCTGGTGAATCATTTTTGAGATAMGGTCTCAGCCAATTCCCTTTGAGTGGCTTGCAGTCRTTTTGGCGACGTGTYGGGCTGTTGGGAAGAAARTGCTGAACATCCTTCTGGTTGTCGACCGCGAAACTATCGTCTACGTATGCTGCTGCAAGACCATGTGTGCTTTTAATTAGACCGATAGATTCTGCGTTGTAGTCTTCTTCAGGAGACCAGAAACTCGACGAAAGAAGATCTCTGCCTTTATCGAGGCTGTATATATCAACAGTGCTTGATCGCAAACGCTGATTTTGCATACAATATTCGACAACAGGTTCAGCATGGTAGTATGCATAGTATGGTGATGTTGAAGTGAATGTGAGTTGACTTTGATCGTCGTGCTCTTCGATCTCAGGCTTTTTCAGGTCTCGTTCGTTGTTCGAACTGCTTTGAAGTAGCGAATCTGGTCTCAATATATGGATTGTTCTCGATTCGCCTGATGATAATGCGACCGGAAGGCCCGTAATAGTGTCTCTCTCGCCAATTATATTCGCTGAAGAAGCTGGAATTTTTAGACAAAATTTCGAAGTTTCTAAATTTTGCTTTGGATCGACACTATCAAAAAGGGAATCAAACGAGGCATGAMATTTGTCTTTTATCAAACCAGGGCCGACAGAGTCAAATCTCACGCCTGTTTTCTTGATGTGTGATCTTGGTGACCTTTCAAGATCAATTTCAATCTCAAGACCAGTCAGATTCCGTACTTTGACAGAACGAGATTCAGTAGCCCTCCGAAGCCCTACAGTCGAGAGAGCTGACGGTGTTAATGCATACGAAGTTTCTTTACTTCTGGGCTTTTTCAGAGATTGAAAGTCCAGCTCAGAGAAGTCTCTCAGAAAAATACCAGTTAGATTCAACTGAATTTCGCTGTTKGTCGAAATATCTAAGGTCATCTCATTGGGCATTTGATCAACCGCCAACTTCAACGGAAATGGCTCGACCGCGTACTCCCACTCAGATACTTCAGAATTGTAAAAATCAACAGAAATATCAGTTATGCATTCTCCTGCCAATGCGGACACGCAACCATTCAATGTACACTTCAACTGATTAAGATTGAAACTCAAAAACTCTGGCGCTCCGTATCTGGACTGGAATGTACGCAAAACGATGAATGAAAAGTTTTGAAGTTCAATCCGGATATTCGTTGCTATTCCAGTACCTCTCTTCTGAAACTTTAACACTGATGATAAAGGACTCTTCGTCTGTTTCAGCACCTGCTTGTGGCCGGGTCCAGTGGCGAAACCTTGTATTCCCTTAAGTCTTTGTCTCATTATTTCGACGATACTTATCAAAATCGAGAGGTCATTAGGAGTTAAAGATGATCGTAGCTTTTCGCAATCGACAGAGATATCGTTTGAAACTGGACAGCCCATATTCTCTGTAGCATTAGCAAGGCGAAACTCTGCTTCAGATGGACCAATCATGGGCGTTTGTTGCSTAGATGACTTCTTTTCAAACTCTGTGTCAACACTACCACAGAGATTGTCAAGGCTAACGTGTAGTGTTTTTGACCCGCTAGCATCGGCATTTTCGATACTTTGGAACATGATCAACGCATTGGAAATTATTTGGACGACAGCAAAAGAGTACGCCTGCTTATTGTATCGAATTTTTCGATTCAACTTTTTTGCGGGGCTAGAGAATGTCGGTCTACCAGCCAAAATGCATMCATCTTTCACGATGACTTTGACAATAAGGCTTGAATCCGACGGAGATTTCTTCGTCGTTTCGGTTCCAACTGATCTTTGAGTGATGCTTTCCGCTTCAGCAATATCCACAGTGCTGGTAAGTGACATAGCTGGGGATGGAGGCCTCATTGTATCTGTCTTGTTACGATCTAATTGTCTCGCTTTCCTTCCCTCTTCGTGAACTTTTCGTTCCATGGCGCGTGTGATTAGTTGGACTAGCTCTGCAATTTTTCGAATTCCTTTAGTGCAATCTTTCAACGTAGTCGGTGTCACTCGAAGAATCACCGGGTCGACGTCAATTTCTACCTCATCCAGATGTATTGTCCCATCATGCAATACGTTAACACTCAAAATAGGGCATCCATCACCATTCATAAYTCCTCGTTCCAAAATAGAGTATTGTGATTCGAGGGCTTGGTGGCGATTTTTCATCGGAGTGTACTCAGATGGAGCCTTAAGCTGGACAATTGAAGCGTCGGATGCTATCAATTTGTTTGCGATGATGTCATGATTCTTCGTTCTCTCCCAACATAGTCTAAAGACTTCAACAACATACGTCCTCGTTGGTGAAGCAAATTGGCCGAATAGTGTGGTGTCATGTGATTCGATACTTTTCTCRTCTGAGAAGTTCATTTTTGAATGACCCTCCAAAGCCATTTCAATTTTTTCTACTATTAGTGAGAGGCATTGGGGAGTTGAATTCCTTGATTTGAAGTTCCGAGCTGCTCGCTTATGGATCTCGTAAGTTGAAGAAAAAGCATTCTGATCTTTGTAGTGTGATTTTTTCCCTTTAGTAGACACGCGTCCACGTGCAGTTAAAAGGCCTTGCGAATACCATTTACCTATGGCTCGAGCAAGAACCTCTGCATCAACCAAGTTCAAAGCTATAGTACTGATTGCGACGTCAAGGAATCTAACGGATCCGTCGTACTTTAAAGATTCCCCTGACGCTATTTCTGTTGCTAACTTTCGTTCTTGCATTCCACCAGCTGCATCTATCTGAAATGGTCGAATGATTGAACTTAATCCTTTCATTGGAGATTCTATGAAAGTGAATGAAATTGGGTTTGCCATTCTATCTCTAATTTCTGACACCCGCCATCGAGCAAAGTTGACTTGAATATCACTAGCTTGCAAACCCCAAGAAACATCAGATTGACTATTCTTTTTGTCGTAGGAGTAMCGTAAATTCCCAGCATCAAGGAACAGAGCTCCATCAGTCCCTTCCGAAAGTGGTATCCATATTTTGGGTGCTGCAATGTTGAGATGTATTAGCAACGTAGACTGAGATAGGAAAGCAAGCTGAGCTTTCCGTGCAAGCGGAGTTGCGGCATGCTTCAAATGACTAGTCAACTCAGTTTGCATTTTCGTAGATGGTGCCCCAAAAAATTCAGCTACAGCATCGAAGCATTGACGTGTCCACATCAATGTAGCTGGATGAGCAGAGAAACTGAGTTTTGTGGACCCCTTTTCCCTTGCTGCAGCTAAACGGCATACAATCCCAGAGGGAGGGAGGTCCATAAAGCCAGTAGGGTGTTTAACATTGTCAACAGTGAAAGACGGAGTCAGAGCAAGGTCTTCGGAGAGGTCTGTAGAGAAATCATCGTCATCTCCTCTAGGACTGATAATCGGGCTTTCGTGTACATGTACAGGATTGATTGCTAGTATAGTGCCATCTTCGTCGCTTTTTGCTTGGCAATCAGCTGCTTCAAATCTGGTTATGTCAAAGAAATAGTCAAGCTTGCCTCGGCCGAAAAATTTGATAGTACCTGCTTTCTCGGACTTCAATTTCACRATTTCTTGACCGGATGCTGACAATAGCGTGACTGTAAATGTAATGTGATAAATTTTGAAGTGAATGAACCAGACTTTCTTTCCCAACCTCAACGTCATTGCTTCCAATAGAGTCATAGAACCGTCCGGGTTCCCATTTGGCACATGGGGCGGTTTCGGATGAGTAGGATCTGTTATCTGATGCGGTTCTTTAATGGGTACGAAATCCATTTCACTGATTGAATGATTTTTTGAACGACTCCTATTGAAAATTCTTGTCAAACTCCCTCGACTCAAGATTCGTCCTCGAGAAGAGGAAGATCTGTCAGAAAATCTTTTCTCCTTTCCCCCCTTCCTTCCAGTCCTTTTGATATCATCTACGCTCATGGTATTTTCAACGTGTTCCCTGAGTGCGAGTAAATGGAATGATAAAAGCGCTTCAATTGGCAACAGATCTTCCAATTCTAACAGTTCAAAACTTTCAGGTTCCGTTAACCCTCKGTGGAAGCCAGCTCCATCGGTATCCGTTGCTAATTTTTTGGCGACCAGTTCAATATAACGATCTCTATTGCACGTTATTTGAATCACATCATTCCAAGATCTAGAGTTTGGTCTTGTTGTTATGCATCCAAAGGCATATTTCCACCACTCTCTTGGATTCTCGAGCGGTGATTGTGTGGGTCGCTGACGTAACATTGTATCGAAACGGCGTTGYGACAGCATGGCAGATTTCAACTTTGTGTATTGGACATACTGATGTGGCCTAAGCTTGAATTCCAAATTGAGTGGCAAGAATTCGAATTGGCCGGAGATAGGACCTGGCTCTGTGCGATTACTAGTCCTTTGTCGAAATTGACCACACACGTCTTCGAATACATATTGATGAGATTTTTGTTCCTTAGTGGAGCTATTCCGACTTTCGTGATTTTGAGTTCGTCGATCGTAAACGGCTAATGATTGTCGAATTTTGGTTCCCGGCTCTTGTTGCGTGCGAAGTGACTCCATGGCAGTTGAAATCTTTGAATGAAACTTCTCTGACGAAAGTCGGTGCCCAGGAGTTGTTACGAGTCCGCATTCTGAAATGAGAAAGAGAGGGTCGTCGTCCCAGTACATGCAGAGATTCTTCCAAGAGTGAACTTTGTTTTGTCTTGCATCGTACGGATTCGGCCCTAAGTGATCATTATCTGTTGTACTTCTGGTCTTCTCGTGGCTACCAGCTTCCCATTGTTCATTGGCTGTTCTCATTGAAAACGAGTCTAAAGTAACCCCAAAAGCAAACGCTCTTTGGTCGTATTCGTCCTTCCTCCTACGTTTATACTTCTTMTTTCGATGATCGGGGTGGCAAAAATCTAGTCCTCCTTCAAAAACTTCGCAACGAAAATGAATGTCACGGACACTCACTTCCAAGTTACGCATTATCTTCTCTCGTAACTTCACCTTCCAATCACGAGCAAGCTGAGGCAATTCTCGTGCCGTTCCGTCGGCAATGTCTGAAATGTTATGGATGGTTCTATGCGAGTGTCTCGATGATTTTTCTTCTTGGTCTTGGCCTGCCTCTTGTTGATATCCCTCAGTAGCATTGTTTGTTAGCTCTTCTTCTTCGCTGCTATATTCAACACCCATCTGATCCAGAAAAGTCTTTTCCACCAAGTCCTCCGAAAAGAAATCTGARTCTGACATATCACCTAAAGAGTTATAGGGGTAAGATGATGAGGCACTGCCAGAGTCGCTTGTCGCAGTACCATTCGTACTGCCTCCAGCAAAAATGGAGTTAGTGCTTCCTTTCGCTTGTTTGCGTGACTTTCTCTTTTGTTCCCGTTCAACATTTCTTACGGCACGAAGGATCCGCCGAGATATGGGACCTTCGTCAGGAATCCGCCCGTGCAAATAATTCTTTTCGAAGCGTACCAGCTTTGTCCTTTTCGATCTTGTTCGTAGCGTGCATCGTGGGTCGAGAACATTACCTACTCCAAATGATAGGTGGGCAGTAGCCGGTAAAAGCGGCAGACATATCAAATGAACCCCATGCAATTCTATTCTAGTCGTTTCTTTTTCTAGATTTTTCATAGGGATACTAATCGTAGCAGATTTGGCCCAACAGCTGAGTATACCAAAACCAGACAACCCAATCTTCTCAAACACATGGCCGCCCAACACATCGCCGTCAAGATGAACATTTTCAAGTTTAACCTTTCCCCGCAATGCAGCAATTTTTATTTTATCCTTATCAATGTTGAGAACGTACTCCCCAATGACTTCCTCTATGGCTTGGACGAGGGCCTGTTTCACCATTTTGGGTCAATTATACGAAATATTTGTGACACAAACTCCGAACGCACTAAGAAATGGGAACTTGTTGATTTCGATTCAAATTCTCTCCACTGCTTGAGCMAATTACGATGAATTTCAAGCGGTCGCGAAGTTTCGTCCTTCTATCAGCCTTCAATGGATTGATAAGGGTCTAGCCGGTCGAATAGATAGTTATTCATTCATGTTATTCRTCGAGTCAAGATTTTGGATTTTGAAAAGAATTCCTCAACAATTTTCTAGAAGCATGCTTCTAAGAGTTGTTTTTTCAAATTCCAATCGTTTCTCTTTCGCTATGGTACTTGTCGAGTACGAATAGTACTACCTAGTACCAGGTACTTGACGAGTAATACTACTTTTGTCCGTATTTTTTCAAAAATTTTCGTAGTGGAAACACTGTGCAAGAAGGCTCGTACCGGTACGTAATTCCTTTCCTCGCTCGAGGAGCAAGCAGACGGTCTTTGTTGAGGGACAGACGTTTGCGCGCACATCCACCGATAACGAAATGCATAAAATACATATACCGGGGTAAAAAACCTCTCATCAATGATATGAGAAATCATCAGAATCCAAGGACTCCATGATTGACCTCATACTTTTCTAATTTATCTAACCAATAGGGCAGATTTACACATTCTCTTTAAGGTTTCGTACATCCGATAACGTAGGCATACGACACTTGGTGCATCGAATCAACATAAATTAGAAAAGTATCAACATAACTACTAACACTGCAACGCTGTTAAAAGGACCAACAGGAGTTGCATTACACGGGCTCAAGGGCCCGTAATCAGACATAGCGATCCAAGGAGAGCAACACTAGGGACGACAGGTCGACCCGCACCATAAGATGGAGCAATCAGGCGAAGAATCCGCCGCTAATGCATCAAGGAAATTGGTTAAGGATGAACCAAATTTAACTACAACAAGAGACAATGAAACATGGAACAAACAAAGGAACAGGAACACCACCAATCAGAATACAGCAAAACGGAGCACAGACTCGAATTCAAGGAAGTTCACCGGACACAACCGAGGCGACCTTGAGGGAATAGTACTCACCGAAGAGGGCAGTTTAACACAGTTCACAGAACTACAGAAAAGACTACGAACCTTGGGTGGATCGAAATACATGCCCAAGGTTGGTAAGTCAATCGAGCTAATGAAAAGGCTTACAATAGTAGACTTCATGCCAGCGGAACCAAATCCAGACGATTGGACAATAGGAAACAAGGAGGTAACAGCAATCAAGACAACACTTACTAGAATGCACGATGAGCAGATCAAGATGTCAGTGAAGAGATTTGGTGAATATGAATCGGATATGGAAAAGCTTTACGTAGTAGCACTGGGACAAATCGACGATGGAATGAGAGAGAAGCTGATGAGCACCGATGAGTGGGAGCAAATCAACAGGAAAAGCTGTCCAGTGGAACTACTAGCCTTACTACGAGACATATGCTATCAGGGCAACAAGACCCAGGTATATACACCAACCAACATAATACAGTGTATTCGAAAGCTCATGTGCTCGCGACAGCGGGAACTAAATGGGACCGAGTATGTACGGAGCATCAAGCAACAGTATGAAGTGCTGGAGGCGGTTGCCGGGGGCATAACATGTCCAGCGCTCGTAAAGTACGAACTGGAGATAAACAAGGATCAATACAATGAACTGACATACAATGAGTACGAGGACCTTCCAAGGGCGAGCCGCACCAAACAGAACATTGACCAGGCTGTGAAACAACGACTGATAGCAACTCTCATTGTGGAAGGCAGTGCGGAGGAGAACAGCATGCTTAAGGAAAGCCTGGAGAACCAGTTCAACATGGGTTACAATGCATATCCTGCAACAGCGACAAAAGCGCGCGATATGCTGGGTCACTTCAAAGGGACTCGTAAAGGCGGGAGCAAGAACACCGGAGTCAATAAACCTAAGGCCAAGCAAAAGGTACACCAGGAGGCAACAGCTTTCGTGACAAGGGCTGATGTAACGGACGACGGCAGTGTCCATGATGAAGGAGAGGACCGACCGGACACCCTGATCCCAGGCGTGGAAGATGGCAATGATAACACATACTTGAATAGTCACCAGCTCCTCATGCGGGCAATTGAAAACAATGAAGATTTCGGGGATGTTGGATACAGTATCCACGACACACACTCTTTCCTACAGTACTGTACCACAGCATCACCGGAAAAGGTACAGTCGCCCACAAACACCAATGGGGCTATGAATGATGTCACATTCACATACAGCAACCGTGTAGAACGATTTTTCGCACAGCATGGGGCGGCCCACGGGGCTGGACAGATCAACCCGCACTGGATACTGCTGGACAGTGAATCATCCTGCAATTTGGTCGTGAATCCCCACATCGTACAGAACATAAGGCGTGCACCAGGGTCACAGGTAATGCATATACACTGCAACTCAGGAGTGGCACACACCAGCCTGATTGCAGACCTCCCAGGCTTCGGACAGGTCTGGTTCTATGAGAAGGGAATCGCAAACGTGCTATCACTGGCACTGGTATCTGAGCGCTTTAGGGTGACCATGGATACTGACTGCGATAATGCACTGCATGTACATAAGCCAGGAGGGGGGACACGACGTTTTGGCCGGTCCCCGTGTAACTTATACTACTGTGATATCCGGAAGCATCAGGGAATAACTCTAACGATAACATCAGTGGAGGGTCGACAATCTGAGTTCTCCGACCTGGACTGCCGTCGCGCAATCAAAGCCAGACAGCTGCAGGAGATCATGGGTTTCCCAACATCCAAGGACCTGATCAGCATGATTGAAAACAAGCTAGTGCATAACTGTGGGGTTACCAGACGCGATATACAGAATGCGGAGATCATATACGGGAAGCACACCAGTATCGTAAAAGGGAAGACTGTAAGACGTGCCGGGAAGCATACCAGGGAAGACGTGTCGCCAGTACCACCAGATGTGTTGGATCGGTACGGTGAGGTCTTAGTGCACATAGATATCCTCACAGTTAACGGCATACAGTTTTTCCACTCAATATCAAGACATCTGAGATTCAGGACCGCCAGGGCTATCACCAATGCAAGACAGAGTACCATGCTGGAGTGCGTTGAGAGCATGATTGGTCAGTACAGGGCACGCGGGTTCACAGTAACACAGATAAGTGGGGACAATCAGTTTCAATGCTTGCAAGACGATTTATTGCGGCTGTCCCCCCCCGTGGTGCTGCACTGTGTGGCTGCTGGACAGCATGAACCCACAATTGAGCGCAGTAACCGCACACTAAAGGAGAATGTACGGTGCTATGTGGCACATCTCCCCTTTAAGAAGTTGCCAAAGAGGTGTGTCATTGAACTAATATACGCGGCAGTATATTGGTTGAACTGTCGCACCGCAGGTGTACACAGGACCAAGTCAGCCCGGGAGATAATGACAGGAGTGTGCCTGGATGCAAAACAGGACTGTAAGTTTCAGTTCATGGAACCGATACTTGCACACGTGGATGATACGGACAACACCATGAGGGCAAGGGCGGTGGACGCACTGTACCTGAGACCAACGGGACTAAATACAGGAGGTTTCTATGCTTTTGATATCAACAGTGGGAAGAGGATCCACCGTAAATCAGCCACAGCAACACCACTAACAAAGACACTCATTGAAAGGGTTACAAGGATCGGCGAAGCGGACAAGATGCCCACCGGTGTGCACTTTGGTGATGCGGAGGGCAACACAACCATACTGGACCTGGACGTGGGTCCTGGAGGAGTGAACACCGATGATGATGATGCATCTGATGGAACATACAATCCAAGGGATGATGAATCCCTGGAAGGCGACGAGTTGAATGAGTATGTGGATGAAGAAGCGGTCGACGGTGTGGAGGCACAGGATCTGGCACGAGATGTAAGGGCTCATGCGGATCCATCCGATGACAGAACAGAACAAGCAACGGCGAGGGATCCGGATGCTGCGGATGGAGCGAGTGAAGAGCCAAGGGAGACAGCAATGGATGAACCAACGGAGGCAGCAGTGGATGAAACAGCGGAGACGGAGGCAGACAACGAGCCAGATGACACCACACCTGTCACAGAGGAGGAGCCCGTGAGCTCACGGCTGCGGAAACAGGTAACGCGGTCGCATAACAAGTTCGGTAGGAATGAGGGCTATGAAACAACAACACACAGCAGGTCCTTTTTCACAGCCGGATACGTGAAGGCGGTGGAACATCTCAGTCAACAGGAGGCAGCGATAATGCTGGTGGCAAATGCAATAGCCAACTACAACAACCTGGAGGCTACACAGGCCACAAAGCAGTATGGAGTCAAGGAAGGAATCAAGCGGTTCGGATCTGCAGGAGTGGACGCAGTGCTCAAGGAATTAAAACAGCTGCACGACCGCAACGTTGTGTCAGTAATAGACCCAAAGAAACTGACAGCTGAGATAAAGGAAAAAGCCCTGCCATATCTAATGTTCCTAAAGAGAAAAAGGGACACGTCAATCAAGGGACGGGGCTGTGCAGACGGCCGGCGACAGAGAGAATACATAAGAAAGGAAGATGCAGCATCACCAACTGTGTCACTGTATGCACTGGTGTTGTCGTGTGTGATAGATGCCATTGAATGCAGAGATGTCGCCACTGTGGATATCCCAGGGGCATTCCTGCAGACACCAATGCCGGAAGGAGAGGATGTTTTCATCAGGCTTGATGGAACCATGGCCGAGCTCCTCTGTAGGGTAAATCCAAGGATGTATAGGAAGTATCTGGTGGGTAAGAATGGCAAGAAGACATTATTCACGAGAGCCGAGAAGGCAATCTACGGGACACTGAGAGCAGCCTTATTGTTCTGGGAGAAACTCTATGGACAGCTTGAGGAGTGGGGTTTTGAACTGAATCCTTATGACCCATGCACCGTAAACAAGATCATCGATGGGAAACAGTGTACCATCGTGTGGCATGTCGATGACCTGAAGATATCACATTGCGATGCAAGAGTAGTGAGCAAGGTCATCAAACAGCTCAACGATGAGTTCGGAAAGGAATCGCCGCTGACTGAAACGCGGGGAAAGATACATGACTATGTGGGTATGACCATCGACTACACCGAACCCGGAAAGGTCAAGTTCAGCATGTTTGACTACCTCGAGGAAATTATACAGAACCTTCCCGACAGTTTACAAGGGACAGCAATCACACCAGCAGCAGACCACCTCTTCAAAGTCGACGAGGAAGGTACAAAGCTGGATGAGGAAAGGGCTGACAAGTTCCACCACTATGTGGCAAAGCTACTCTTCATGGCAAAAAGAGCGAGACCAGACATCCAGACCGCAGTCGCGTTCCTGTGTACGCGAGTTTCCGAGCCAGATGAAGATGACTGGAAGAAACTCAAGCGTGTCATGGGCTATCTCACATCGACGCCATATATTCCACTCGTTCTTGGGTGGGATGGAAGTGGCCATGTGTACTGGCACGTGGATGCAGCCTTTGCCGTACACAATGACATGAGGAGCCACTCAGGGGGTGTAATGACCTTCGGGACTGGTGCCGCCATCACAACGTGCACCAAACAGAAGCTGAACACGAAGAGCTCAACTGAGGCAGAGGTCGTGGGTGTTGACGACAATATGACATTCATCCTGTGGGCCAGATATTTTCTGGAGGCCCAACAACAGCACATGACCGACAACATTGCGGACGGCCAGGAAGGAGCGAAAAAAGGGAGTCTGGGAAACACGCACATTATATATCAAGATAATGAGAGTGCCATCAAACTCGAACGTAATGGGAAAAGGTCAAGCACAAAGAGGACCAAGCACATCAACATCCGATATTTCTTTGTGACAGACCGGATCAAGAAGGGCGAGGTGACGGTGGAATACTGCCCAACCGACGACATCATTGCTGACTATTTCACCAAGCCACTACAAGGGAGCAAGTTCATTAGGTTCCGGAACACCATACAAGGAGTTAGCAATGAAGACTGTATTAAATATAAGCAAGCGTACTTTGCTGCAAAGGAAGCAAGAGCAGCTACTAGCGAGTGAACGTCCCAGCGAAACGCTGCGGTCTCATATGGTAGGAATCCTACACAACGAATCGTGGGAGACCTACCCGCATAAAACCGCAGCGAGGAGTGTGTTGAGGGACAGACGTTTGCGCGCACATCCACCGATAACGAAATGCATAAAATACATATACCCGGGTAAAAAACCTCTCATCAATGATATGAGAAATCATCAGAATCCAAGGACTCCATGATTGACCTCATACTTTTCTAATTTATCTAACCAATAGGGCAGATTTACACATTCTCTTTAAGGTTTCGTACATCCGATAACGTAGGCATACGACACTTGGTGCATCGAATCAACAGTCTTATTCATTCAATTCTCTCGATTTTGACTCCGGTAACTACTACTAGTTTCGTACGGTACGGCTCCTACAGGTACGAGTACTCGTACTCGTTCCCCGTGATCATGCATGGGGTTGTTGGGAAAAAGGAAAAAATGAAGGAATGAAGGCACGATACACATCATGAATACTGTATTGACAGTAGTACGTATCTACTACACGTATAAAGTACAAATACCAAATACTGCCTTGTACAGTACTACACTTAGTACTTGTAACGTACTTTGTACGATACACTGTGCTACGGTAATAGATGTACATACTTGTACTTTCATATGCTATCAAAGTACTATCTGAATTCTTTGAATAGTCACGCTTTATCCTTCAGTCACGAACAAGTTTCAGACTTCATACCGACCATCAACCTCGAAAAATTGGAGCGAGTTTCTTCATCGGAAAACAAAATTGCACCATGGTTCAAACACAAAGGCTGCTGCAACGTAGACTTCACCCTGATACCAACGATCTGCAAAGAACAAGTTCCCATATGTTACGTTTTCAAATTCAATCTAATGCTGTTTCTTCACAATGATTGAAAAGCAACATGAGGAGATAGAAAATGGAGAAAAGATTGCCTCCACCAATGGCTCATTTTTTGAAATTCCGTGGCAGACCAGCGAAACAGACAAGACGCTAACTATTTCTGTCAACAATCCAGCGGTAAAACTACCTCGTCAAGGCCTTGAAATTATTCCTGAATTCATTTCTGAAAAGGAATCCAACGAGATCTTAAAAGAGATTTATACAAATAGAGGAGATAATTTCTCATGGGAGGGTTTCGATTTGCGACGAAAGGTTTTAAGGTTTTCGCTAATAGAGGAAGACGAGAGAAAAAAATCTGACAACGACTGCTTGCCACCAATTCTGCGATCATTAGTTGACCGAATTAGGCAAGCATCTGATCTAAATGGAACTAATCCCATAAGAGAAGTGACAATTGAAGAATATCCCAGGAATCAATTATCCCAAAACTTGAAGATAGCCAAATCGTTAGCAACAACCTTCGAGACAGGTGCCAATCTACCTTCATCTCAAAAAGACTGCGGTTGTTATGTAGCCTGCTTACCCTTGACTATGTCGCTAATTGAATATGTCAACCGGCCTAAACGACGAGAAGTTAATTGTTTTGAATTACACCCTGCTCCTGAAAATCATAGTACAAGTTTGGTCCTTCCTAAATCTGCTTTGGTCATTAAAAAGAGAGATTTTCTTTTTCACTGGAGAAATCGGATTGTCAATTTGGCAAAAATTGAAAATGGGAACGTAAAGATAAACACAGATCAAAAGCAGCAGGGTTGTAATCCGATTGTATTGCTCAAATTCTATGGGTTGACGGATTTATTAGCAAAGTCGACTGTCCCAAGCAATGTAAACTTTGGTTACATGCCCACTCTACAGGATAAAAAAGAAATGTTACGTAGAAGATCAGTGGAAATGCCAAAGTTAGAAGACCTTCTCACAGTTGTCGTCACAACATCACCTGTGAAATCGAATCCTTCGACAGAGCTCTTAGAAAAAGTCTTTGACACATTCAAAAAGTGCGGTCACGACTTCGCCTATAAATGCCATAAAGTTATTATTTGCGATGGCACTAGACAGCGCGATGAATCGACTACAAAGAAACATACCAATGATAAACAAAGTATGCGAAATGGGATTGTTACAGCGGATCAAAACAAGAATTATTTYGCCTTCAAACAAAATTTAAAACAGCTCTGCCAAGAACACGGTGAATCAACGGTTTTGTCTCCTTTCAATCATACCACTGTCAGCGAACTTGATGTTAGGCAGGGCTATGGCTTCGCTTTGAGACATGCTCTGAGGGAATGTGTGGATACCCCCTTTGTGATAGTGATTCAGCACGACCGAACATTTATGAGGCCGACTCCAATCGCCGAGACTATACGGGCCATGTGGTATAATTCAAATATCAAATACGTTGGAATGAGTATGCGAAGCAATCTCATGATGCGCGACCAGTTTCTTGGCCGATATGGAGTATCTTATTCGGATGAAATGCTTGACTGCATCCTTCGCCCTCCTGAGTTACTCTTGGACGCAAAAAAGTATGGTCCCAACAGCGAGTCAGCTGCAGAGATCGACTATGAAGATGGAGGAGAAAAGCTCCGCACAAATTTGCTTGCCTTGGCAGAGACTTACAAGGGATCGCAGCAATATATCGATAACTCTGAATGGCTCAAATCGTCTAATGTGCCAGGAGATAAGTGCCAGCTATCCCTGTCTCCCACACTCTTCTGGTACGACAACGTTCATATTTGCGAGACGCGACACTATCGGGATTTCATATTCGACCCTGAATACAGGATGGTGGTGAAAGGAGGCTTCGTTGAAGATAAACTCAGTCCCGTCATCAAGAAGACGGTAGAACGACTTGGACTTAAAGATGGACACTCCCGCTTTGGTTGTTTTTTGCTTGACGACTATTCCGGATTTTTCTTCACTGGCCACTTGGATGGTGGTAGTTACATGACTCCGCAACAAAAGCAACAACTCATCGACATTCATCGGCTATCAAACGCAAAGAAGAAGAAGGAGAAGAGACAGGATAAAAACAATGCGAACGACTGAAATTCAGCTGGTTAAACATCGTAAGTAGATTAATGACGGGAGTCATATATTTTCCGCAATCTACATGTGAATCAAACGAGGAGAACAAAAGATACGTGTCTAAAATTATCATTAAAAATTAAAGTTTGATTATTCAGAAGTACAACATATTGTCCTATGCCCCTTARAACTGTAATCATTGAGAACCTAGAATGAACAACTGACGGAAGAATCACCTCATGTTGGGATTGGGGTTAATGAAGTGCTGCAGTTTCAGTCGCTTGTTTGATTCTGGGTCRGTAGCAAGATATTGCTGCGATACCGAGGGATTCAACATGTTGTTGCCCGGTAGCATATTGCCAGCAGCCAATCCATTCAACAGTTCGGCTGTTGAAAGACCACCAAGTCCTCCCGACAAGGAGTTGGCAGCATCCAAATAAGGAACCTGGCCCAGATGCCCGCCACCTATTTGCATATTCAAGGCCTGTTGAGCAGTAGATCGTGCATTGAGGACAATGTCTTTCGAAAWAGATTTCGGTTTTTCTTTTTTCGGATGATTGAATTTTCGCTTCCGGACATCTACGGTCGGGTTGTTGTCGTGGAGCCGATCCCATATGCGCGCGAAGAATGCCTTTTGGCTGCCAAATTTCATCTTAGCACGTTCCTCGTCGTGTGTCGTGCGAAATTTCTGGAGGGTGCCGCGAACATCAGCGGGGCATTTCCGACACCGCATCATGTGGTTGTAAAGGACGTTCAGCGTTTTGGACGTGTCCGATAACGTTTTTATGCTCGATGGGAAAAAACGYCCAGAACCGTATCCCCCAAAGCAATGGCGGCACGCCAATCCCGGAAATCCCGGGGGAAGACCCTTGCGCTTCCCSAGGCGATCAGCCTCGGTGAATACACACGTTTGCATTTGGCTAAGCAGAAAAAAAGAAAACTGGGTTGCAACCTTTTCATCCTTTCCGGTCACTAACGGAGCAGAGCTTCCAGAGCTTTTGATCGTGTTTACATCCGGARCGGCCTTCTCTTTACTGGAAGTTATATCTCTGAGACCTAACGGGTGTTGGATTTCTGCTTTTTCAGAGCCTTTGCTGGGACCTCCATCACAAACTGGTTCGAAATTTACAGGATATTTGGAGGCATAGGATGATTCGTTAATGTTGGATAAACCCATAATAGTATTGCTAGCTGAATTGAAGAATGCATCATTGTTTCCCCTCACGGTATGATAATTATCAGAAGCTTTTTGTTCCATGGTCAACCTAGGAAGAGGTGGTGGTTTTGCACTTGAAAATCGTATCCCCTCCCTGGTGTCGACCAGACCTAGACTAAGGGCACTTTTTGCCCAATATGACTTCGACGTACCGCTGCGGGCATCATCGAGTTTCAATGTTTCGTATCGTCGCATAATCTCCGGGTCTACTGCTTTACAGCTGTGCAAATGACGCTGCAGTAAATTCATTGTGGCGTTATAAATCGAGGATACACTTAAAAATTAAAGGAAAATCAAGATTGGGGTCAAGAGAAAGATCAGAGACTTCCATGTTACGGCAATATCATTGCTTCGATCAAAGAGCGAACATAACGTTGACCGTGAAATTTTCAATAAAAAAAAGTTACATACCTGGTTGGGTAGTACACACTCCCTCGTTCYCGGGACAAAGGTGCCATGTCCGACTTGTGACAGTGGGGACAACGAATGCCAACCTGGCCGACCTGAATTGGCTTTCTCTTTCCTTTAGTGGGTACGGCAACATCATTTTTGGTCGCTGTAAAGACCTCGACGCAATGGAGCCGCACAAAGCAATGAAGGGGAGTAAGCCAGTCCTTATCCTCCGGCAATCCCAGCGCGATTGATTTTCCAATGCTGGTAAATTTGCTCGTGTCCTTGGCGTCGAGGAGCGGACCGGGTGAAAGTTTGCCCCCGCTGCCGAGCGGCGACAAGTCCCCAGTAGCGCTCTTATTTCTACTGGTGACGTCCGGGTTGGAAACGGCTTCTTGCGTCGCCCCCGCAACCACGCCTAGGAGGTCCAGGCTCCCGCGCCGATCGTCGCGACGCCCACCGCCGTATTCGGTTTCGAACCTCGAGGAAAACCGGTGTCCATCCACCATCCCGGTGGCTTCCAGGTCGGGTCCCTCCAGAGCACCTACCTTGCCCCCAAACAACGAATGCCTCCGCTCAAAGGGAACGTGCGGCTGTTGCTGGGGCTGCTGCTGCTGCGGCGGCTGTGGATCAATCATTCCCGATTGTTGCAGCGACTGCTGCATCCGTTGCATTACTTGTTTTCTCTCTTCCATGGCGGACAGCAGCTGCTGTCGCTGGTATTCGAGCTCTTTCTGTCTCCGCTGC